GGCTTTTGTGGGTTATCTAATTAGGTCGGGCACTATTGGGGAGACATAATGTACGAAGTAAAACGAAAACTATGATACGGATATTGTATCTGGCCCACCTTTTGTTTACAATGTTAGACGGAGACAGGCAGAGAAGCGGTTGTGTTGGCCGTGTTGTCAGTTATCACTGGACTGCCAATTTTTCTGTGGTTATCATCATCATCCCTATCTATGTTCCGCTGAGGGGCAGCATGGGCATTATACAAGAAAGTAGAAAAAAAATCTAGACTTGAATGCAATAACAAAAACAATTACAAACATCTGTGGAATCTTCTATGTTTATTGCGGGTGCTTCTTAGCCTTCAGCTAAAAAGCGCCCAAAGGTTTCTTTTTCCACCAACATAAACAAAATATGAAGTATTCTCAGGTAAAGTGCTTCCATCATGAGAAAGGATGCATGCATTCCATTCGTAAACAAAACTCAACGATTATAATGTCCCCTTGAAGTTTAAAATGGTCATCCAGATCTGACTTCAATAAAATAAGGATGAGCATTGTGACTGAGAGCAAAATATGCTCACAGCCAGTTTATTGCATGTAGTAACAGTGCAATAGCATGTTTGCCCTCACCTGCACGGTCAATTGAGGACGAAGTGAGCTCCTCTCTCAGGAGAAGGTGCACTCCTTCAACAAGCTTGGCCAGGTGGCTCCAGTACCTTGGATGAAGGATCCCAAGTGTACATGGGAGACAGTAGTAAAGGAGCCAATGCCTCCACTCGGACGCCTTCCAGTTGGTGCGAGTTGCCAGGGACCTCGGCAGCCTTGTGACACAGTGGGGGGGCGTGATGGAAAGCAGGCGCCTGTCTAGTGCAGCAACAGAGGAGGGGCTGCCTGCAATATTAAGCAAACAAGAAAAAAACATTTCGCTATGACATCACCTTTGACTTGTTCCAAGGGCTTCAGTGTAGTGACAGTAGTATGTTAAAGGGCAACTTAAGAGGTTCTAACAAAAAACGAGTTAGAGGTGGATTCTAGCGTAGTTTTACACGCTGATTTCGGATAAGTCAACCATTTGGCCGAAAAGTATTCCTCTAAATGCAAAAGGAACACGAAAACGAGCGCCGGTCAGCATCGGCTGAATCAGCCCTACGTTATATGCAGAGCTTTATGCGGTCATTTCGTATTGCTCCTGAATGCTCGCAGGTTCAAATGGCGACCCTGATAATCACTTATCACCTTGTATACACAAAGAATGGCGAGCCGTTAAGCACCTGAGGTTTAACAAATATAGAGGGCTCTTTACATGACTCCATATGCGTTTTAGCCCTTAGCGAAGTGTGGGGAAAACATCCGGGGGGGGGGGGGGGGGGGGGGGGCTTTGAGTCCAGAGGAGTGGCAATGCTTGCAGCCCCAGGCGAGCGGCATTGCATTCTATGCACGTGTGGGCAACCCATACTGGTACGTATCCTAATCTTTTCAGGTTGCGTCAGAACACACAAGAGAGAAAATTGAGAATGTGGGACTGTGCTGAATGAAGTGGCAGTGGCACTTGCTCGGCGCCACTATGGCGCTGCCATGCGACTGCCACTTCTTGCTCGCTGACCAAATGGCACTAGCGGGCAAACGTCCACAGACCTGTTGGTGAGACTGTGAACATTCATCATGATTCAATTTCCTGGAAACCTCATTAGATCACGATTATATCTTACCCAACGGTAACAAATACATAGCATACCACTCAGAATCGCAAAATTTTTTAACAGCAAAAAGCTTCTAACCTTGCGCACTTTGCAAGATCTACGAAATATTGACCCCACTAAAATTCCGTTCTATAATTTGAATGCTTCCTATTGGGGTGAATATCGGCTATGGATGTGTTGCATTCATTATTATTTTCACAAAGAACTTACCAGATGCATAAATCCGTGTATGATTCGCTGCAGATTTATTTGCTTGGCCTATTTTACGCTGGCGTGATTTCCTTTCTCCAATTTATTGCCGTGATTAGCCTCTCATGATGGCTTCCGATTTACGTCAAGCTTATAAAAAGTGATGTGGAGGTCGGCCAGAGCTGGCTTGCCCGAGCCAGCATTTCAGCCGAGACTGCATGGTGAAAAAAAGCACTGGCAGGGTTAGCTCACAAGCGGAGACAAATATTGAACCATAACTTCAGCTCTCATGTGCACTGGGCCTTGGCAGTGATTTCTTTCACCCAGTTTCTGCTCAAATGCTGGATTGAGCAAGCCAGCATTCTTACTGCTTCACCATGTTGATTTTGCGACATCCGACTTTGCAAAAAGCAATAGTTAGTTCAATACTTTGTATAACTAAGGACTGTGGTATAACTAATCATGCTGCCTTAGAGGAGCTAACAACCGCACACAGGGTCGGCATAATCGTGAGACTGTCATGGTACAGAAGACCGAAACAACAAAAACGAATAACAAAATTAAACCACGCACAATCGCAGAAAACCACGAGCAGTCACAGAAAACCAAATGGAGATAGCAGCAAACAAAGCAGAGATGAGCAGACAAGCCGTACATTTGCATATAATGTCATCTGATATCACGCCTCTCACTTGCCTCAGAGAGGGCGGGGCTTCGGCGTTATTTTCAAAGCACTGTTACGACTGCTCCTTACATCAGATTGAAAAATAATTTAGATATTTGTGATCCTGAAGGGCACAAAGTGTTTTTCTTCTTGAATACAGAACCACTTAAGTCTCCCTTTAAACTTCAACAACCACACGGTGCATATGCCTCTACATCTCTCTGAACTAAAGATGCCTGATCTGTAACAGTACAATTGTTTTTTGCTTTTTTTTTGTTATATAGTTCAAAGCTCAGTAACTAAAAAACTGCCTGACACTCTCCTTATGTTGCGATTCACCAATGAACTAAATGCTCTATCAGAGCCGCTTGTCTTGTTCCTTCCTTCCCTTTCCTTTGAAGCTGATGGCTACGCGGGCATAAACAAATTAATGTTTGTTTGCTATGTTGTATGTATCCTTGGTACAGAAGGCTGGCTCCAAGAAAACGTTGAAGCCCTAGGCCCACCTACCACATCAAACATTGGTGACTTCATATTTATATGCAGGTTGCATAGTTTGCCTATTAGCAACTCAAGATTCATTTTTCCCCCTTTGGGCTGGTGCAGAACATTGAGCACAATGTCTGGTAACTGAGCAAATATAGAGCTAAATACAAGAACAAAAGCCTTAACATTTGCAATAGTCAATAAATAAACTGTTGCATCTTTCATAAATGTTTTACAAACATTTTAAAATGTAGGATTATAATATACATAAAATCGAAGTATTTTACAGGCACATTTGCAAAAAATGTGATAGTGAATGTTATGTCAATTGTCAATAATCTCACTATCCCCAGTTTTATAAATGCATATAGTGATTGATGTTGCAAATGATGGCTTGTATAGCCATCGTTTGCAACATCCTCTTGTGAATTTATAGAACCCGGTTGATAGTGAAATGATCAACAATTTTCCCATGAAAACCTTTACTAAAAGTTAAGAGTATTCCTGCCATCTTACCTATGTAGAACCGCTCGTTGGAGTTTACAGACGACAGCAGCATCTCCGTGATCTGGCGAATGACGCCCAGGAGTACAGCATGCATGTACTCCACCGTGAACCCCCACACCAGGTCAAAGTCAGGAAGGCTCACGGCTGGAGACGGACCCTTGTAGCCGTTGATGACCAAGGAGGACTCCAGGGCCACCTTCATGTCCCGTAGGACACCTGCTGACGTCCTCCCACGTGCATCCTCAAAGGAGAGGAATCTGAGGCTCCCTGAAAATGAGGTTGAAATGACTATACAAAACTTGCAGTGGTAGAACGTTTACATCCAAAGGTCAGATAGATACGTACCATCAACGTAATCTCCCTTGATTAGGCACCATGGGCACCCGTAGTACCCGTTGAACAGTACCATATTCTGCACAGATGCGCGTGCGGGGGCATCCACGCAGCAGCACAAGATGTACGCTCTAGACGAGTGCTGTGTGCCTTCATGCTGCCAGGGGACGGGTTGCATGCTCTTGACACCCTCTACAAACTTTCCAAAAAACAAAGTCATGTTGGGGTGTCCCTTCCCAAACCAAAGTCCAGCAAGCACTGAAACCTGGAATCGTTGAGGCACTGGCAACTCGTTGACAGTGAACTGAATGGGCCAGACGGATGCACCGGAAGATGTAAATACGGGGCTTCCATCAGTGTTCACTGTCAACGTGAGGTCACTGTCCCCCAGGGTCCCCGATGACTGCAGATTCTTGTACGCTTTGGCTTGAGTGATGTCACCGATGACACTGGTGGTAGCACCCCGGTCACTGGCAATCTGGTTCAGCTTTTCGTGAAGGGCTGCTTTGTTGTTCTGAATGACATGATTCAGCTGCTTGCCGATGTCTAGAACAACGAAGAAAGCCCCATCTTTCTTTGCATCTTTGAGGTTGCTAGACGTCTCGCAGGTGGGACAGACGCCATCTTCAGCGGAAACCTCCAAGAGATCATTGCATGACCGGCAGTAGAAATGTCGTACAGCTGCGGACTCCGCCTCGGCTGCAAACAGCTTTCGGAACAGGTACTTGCTTTGTGGGAGCACAGACTGCTCTGGAGCAAAGAATGCATTGACCATCAAAAGAAGGTTGTCAAGGCCCTGCCAGCTTAAGGCTTCACCAGCCACAAACGCCATAATCATCGCAACAGCTGCTGCCTTGGTAGTTGTCGAATGGGGCAGAGTTTGGGTTCCAAAAGCTCGTAAGCCTGCTGCCAGTGCATGTTCTTCACTCATATGTGGTGGTTGCTCGGTCTGTTCCCAAAAGGTTGAAGAATCTGCATGTGACTGGTGAGTCATAGTCTCCTCTCCGTTACTCTCTGAAGAGTCAGCGTCTTCCGCAGTGATTCTCGACTGAGGGTCACTGCTGCAGGAATCACAGTCACTCTCGAGCTCGTCACCATCGCTGGGGACATCATAGACGGGAGAACCGGCTGTTGCTGATTGGTTCCCGCTTGGCACAGCCTTCTTACACCGAGACAGAGTGGACTTTGGTATCTTGAAAGACGCGCCCTTCTCTAAGTAAACAAATCGTCGACGCCGAGTTGCTTCACTACTAGCCATGATAACAAGTCACGGAGCAAACGCAGCCATCAAGCCAGGCTTGTGAACACGCGCACGAACAACAGGCAACAGGAAAGAAAAATGTAGAATTGCTGAGGAACAGAGGGGAGCGAGAAGCAGAATGACGCAAATGACGCGACTGACGCACAAAATAAAATTAAAAAAATAAATAATAAAAAAGAACCAGTTCGAGTTTCGAACGATCAAAAGTAACGCAGACGACGAAAGCGAAAGTCACGCACAAATACTCCGCCTAAAAATGGTCCACGTAAATACGGAGCAATTAATAGAAGAGCCAATGGGAGAAACACAAACCCGACCACACTTCCAAGACGAAGAACAAGTACGAGTTGCCGAGCGTCGAAACTGAGAGCACTGTGCGGAACAACGAACAACCTCAAGGTAAACAATGCAAACCGAGAAACGGAACAAGCCGAGCCACTGAGCCGAGCGGACCAGTGACCACCGCGGTGGGACAAACTAGCAGACGCAGTCAGAGCCGAAGACCGAATCTATAATAAGCCAGGGCGATGGCCAGCGTCGAAGCTACGCTGTTTGGTTACATTTTAATCTAATTTTTAGCGCCCCCGAAGCACCGCGCAAATTCGCTTCCCTGCAATTAAGGAATTGTGCGTGCGTGCGTGTGTGTGTGTGTGTGAGCTTTTCGCGCCGAGAATTCGGGAGTTGCTCGCAGTCGTGAGGGGTTTACTTCCGACGACTTCGCGAGTTCAAGTTTTCGTTAAATCGACGGCTGTATGGTGTTTCAGAGGTCATAAAAATAATATTTAATAAGTTCTACTATTTTTAATAATTAATATGAGCCTTGAGGATATTTAGGATTTTCTTCCAACGAATAAACACCAATAACATACCATCATGTTACAGCAGTTTCACTTCTGTTTTCAAGAGAGATATTCCAGGCTCATTACAATCCCGTCCAATCCAATCCAATCCACCTTTATTTTTCGGAGTTGCCCGAACGGCTTTCCCTGGGCTTTCCTTTCTGGCTCTGCTCTTGCCTGTGCCTCCTAGTCCTAACAGGACCTCTGCTTTGATTTGGGTATCGTTGTTTTCACCTTTTTGTGTTACTGCGTTCTATCTTGTGCACTTCGTTTTGTGCGTTGTGCGTTTTTTTTTTTTTCTGGTAGCCCAGCAAGCGTTGCTTTATTCTTTTGACTTTCTTTTCGTATGTTTCTTCTGTTTTCGCGATGTTCTACGCGTACGTATGTACATTACCCCGCCGACAAAGAGAAGGCGATCATGCCTGTGTGCCTGATCAAGGATTATAATCCAAAAACGGAGACTGACATCCCTAGTGAACCGGTGCAAGCGTATTGGCGCTCCGAGGCCGGCCTTGAAGAAGGCTACTACGAGGCGAAAGTGGTCCTTCTTGCAAGTAAGTACCTGGCCTTTGCTGTTCCTCTGTGTTTGCCCTGCGCTGATCTGTTTTCTCAAAGGAAGTGTGTGCGGTTTGTGTAGCTCAGAACTCGATTGCAATATTGGGAAATCGTACTTCCTTAACATACGATTGTGGTAAACGCAATATCCAGCGTTACTTCCGACGTAACTACTTTTAATGAGTAAAGTTATTCGGACTCCGTCCTGCATCTCGACCGGAAAAGGGTGTACGCACTACGCGAAACTCGTATAAAACGAATAGTTAAAAGTTTTCTAATAAGCGGTGGCAAAGCATAGTGGCAAGGTTTCTGCTTCATACGCAAGTGGGCGCGGGTTCGATCCGCGGTGTGGGCCCACTTTCTTTTTTTTCTCGAATATTTTGTTTTGTCGAGGCGTTTGGCAATATTTGCGGCATATCTTTTTTATGCTTACTTGAATACCAGTTGAACGTCTAGGAAAAGCGATGGAGAGAAAAAAAAACAAAGAACCACACTACTGGACTATCAACCTTTTAATAAAACTTTCTTTTCCTCAACACTATCCTAAAAGGTGTCTTCTTCATCTGTGAGATCTTAGACTGAAACTTCCTTTTTCTCGACACTAACCGTAGAGTTTACCTCTTCTTCAGCTGTCGGATCTTACAAAACTTTCTTTTTTTCTACACTTTCGGTAGTGTCAACTTCTTTTCCTCTGTCGGATCTTGGCATTCAAATAGTCCCGACTTGGTTGCTCCGAGGGGCCACTCCCTGCGGATATATTTTTTTTTTAGGCAAGAGCGCAATGGAGGCGACACTTACGCATTCTTCCCCCCTTTCCTCAATGGCCAGTGACTCGAGTAATCTCCCTTCCAAGCTGTTTCCGGTGTCGTGCGACAAGTGATGTTTGTGAAGTGAGGACCACATTTGCATTCCCGACAATGTGTCGAAAAGTGGCCTGCCGACGTTAGTGTGGCCACAGAGGCTGCATGTTCTCTGGTGCGGTTGTTTATGCACCTCCCTGTTTGCCCTATGTAGCTTTTGCCACAAGACATAGGGGTATTGTATACGACTCCTTTTTCACATGGGGCATAGGGTGTTCAATGCGCAGTGCCGCAGGTCGTCGTCACGTTGTGGTCGGTCTCCCGGTTCACCCTACGGCACGTGGCGTATGCCTTGTTGGGGGCTGAGCACACAACGTGGATGCCTTGTCGGCCAGCGATCTTTTTTAGACGATGAGTGATCCCGTGTATATATGGTACCACTACGAAAGGCTTTGGTGGTTTCTTTTTCGTTGGTTCATTTTTCTCCGGATTATGTCGCACTTGCTTACAAAGCTTCTCACATATCACATATCCCCATGTCATGTGGCAAAAGCTACATAGGGCAAACAGGGAGGTGCATAAACGACCGCACCAGAGAACATGCAGCCTCTGTGGCCACACTAACGTCGGCGGGCCACCTTTCGGCGCATTATCGGGAATGCAAATGTGCTCCTGACTTCACAAACATCACTGTCGTCGCACAACACCGGAAACAGCTTGGAAGGGAGATCCTCGAGTCGCTGGCCATTGCGGAGAGTTAGAGCCAGATTGTAGCACATTTTTATCCCGTGAATCCAAATATCACATTCGTTTTCCCTGAAGATGTAACTGAACACAAGAAAACTCGAAAAATTTCCCGCCAGATCTTTTGATTACCAAGTCTATGTCGCTCATGTGGGTAGCACGTGCAATTGCAAGCTTACCAGGTATATTCCCCCACACGTGACACCATTTGTGATGTTTTTTTGCTGACCTTTCTGAAAATATCAAGAGTGCGAGCATGACTATGATGGGTGCTCAATAAGGCACGAGAGAGCGGAGGTTCCAAGAACTCTGGGTGTGATGTCATGCTCAAAGAGGGCGGGACTTCGGTGCTATTTTCAAAATGCTGTGCGACGGCTTCCTACATCAGATTGAAAAATAATTTCGATATTCATGGTCCTAGAGGCCAAAGAAGATGATCCATGTGTTTTTTCAAAAATACAGAACCACTTCGGTTTCCCTTTAAACCGAATGTGAGTGCATCTACACTGGTAGTGCACACTCTAAATTTTTTCACTGAAATTAAAAAAGATGCAACTGCCACAAGGATTGGTAGTCTGAGCACCTACAAATAATTGAAGCATTTGTTAAGAGGAAGAATATGTGTGACGTAAATGCAGCTTCCAGTGACTTACTAAAATAATTGTAATGTTTTGGGCAGTGATTATCAGCAGAGTACAGGGCATAACACAGCACAATCACATGACCGCTAACTTTTCTTATTTTTCTCTTATAATTGAAATGCTGTCATTGAATCCATGGATTTATATGTGGCTTGCACGTGACATCATTCTGCAGTGTTGGCGGTTGTTTTACTTCTTGCAAACTGTGCAGTTCAAGCTTGGTGGTGTAAAATTACTATAGCATTAAATTAACACTAGTGGCTGATATGCCATCAGTATGCCTGACCCTGTCATGTCAGACTGACCTATCTGTTCTGTGGCTCTGTTAACATGTTTTTATCTTTTATTCACCAGAATCGAAGAGGGCACTTCTCGAGGAGATGGCCCACAAGAAGCGACTGGTTATTCCCCAGATTTTTGAGGAACCAGTGCAAGTAAGTGGGTCTGTTGCAGACACAGACTTTTGTTTCGAGTTGGTTATTGTGTTTATGACATTTGATACCTTACTTCAGTCATTATTCGCGATTTGTAATGCTAAAAACCTGAAAAGAAGTCTTGGGGATGTCTAGAAGTATTTTGTCGAGCCAGCGAAAAAAATAAAGGAAAGCTAGTTTGTAGTAGATAGACCTATGAGGTGGAAAATAAATTGTTTAAGATCGAAGTTCCACAAAAGAGGGCAGTGGAAGTGGCAATTACAAAACGGTTCCACTTTGAGCGGACCCGGGCACTTCCACAATATTGTATTGTATTTTGTATATTTTAGGCATCAACATCAGGTTCTGCGTCCAACAAGAACTTGAAACAACGCAAGGCTCTTGCCAAGAGGAAACAGATGGCGAGCATCCTAAGTAAGAAGAGGCCTTTAGCAGGAGACTCAACCGACGATGAGGACCCTGCAGTTGTGCCGAAGTCGGAGCTAGATAGGGCTGAAGAAGCTCTGCGATCTCTGCGGAAGAGGCTCCGCAAGGCGGAGGAAAAGTCTTGTGCCACATGCGCCGAAGGCGTTGTGTCGAAAGCCGAACATGACGCAGCTCTTGGAAAAATTGAGGAGCTTCAAAAGAAACTAAAGGAAGTAGAGGATTCCAACTTTCGACTCATGCGTGTCGTCCTCGACAAGATCGGTAAGCTACCCGTCATGTTTACTTGAATGTTTCGCAATTGTGCTTTAGGATTATGCACCCTTATGGCTAACAATGGACCTTTTCCACATACCGACGGCACCAGGCGGTGGCTGCACAAACTAAAAATCGAGGAAGTGACCTACCTGCGCTACCAATCGATATAGGGAGCTAGGCTACCAGTTTCTTCGCTCTCCGAGCAGCGGCGCGTGCCCTACGCGACTTCAAAGAGGGGCATCTGTGGCATCCACCTAAACGTCGTGTTTTCCTTTCCGTCGACATTCTCTTTTCATGTAACACAATTATATATATTCTTCAGTTACGTGTTGTGCTCGCTGATATACGGCCTCCTTCCGAATTTCCTCGATTTTTCGTTCTGACTTCCGCCGCTTAGCATCGGGTGCTCGCGCGTGCGCAGAACGCTTCTCGGAAAAGGTCCATTGCAGTGGGCCTAATTTTTTGCTTGCCTGGTGACTATCGATGGACACATGGTCACTGTGCCTTCTCCAGAGATCACCAGAGAGGCCAGTCACCAGGCCACTCACCAGCTGCAGGGAAGAACGTCAGTGCCTGCTGCACCCATCCCTGTCCCCGTCCCCGTCCTTGTCTCTGTCCCCGTCGCTGCTCCTGTCCCTGTCCCCGTCGCTGCTCCTGTCCCTGTCCCCGTCGTTGCTCCTGTCCTTGTGCCCGTTGCTGTCCCTACTTCGGTGCCTGATCGTGTGATGACAGAGGCCGGATGTAAGGGCAGGATAGCTGAATTTCAGTTTCCATTAATTAATTCCCAAGTTTCTTCTTGCTGTTATATTGTGGATGTAGATATTGTTTCAGAAGTTAGCTTTTCTTTAGGAGTTACATGGAAAAAAAGGATCCAAGGTTTCAAATGTGCCTACAAAAATTAGATGTTCCTTATGTGCTACATATGTCGGCGTCATGTATTTAACATGGTTTGCAGACACTTTTTTTTCACTTTTAAAAATTTAGTTTTTACAAATTCTTTAAATTTTGTGAAGAAATGAGGACAGAAATACTTTTTCATTTGCGCAAAGTACTGCAAGATACTAAAAAGAATGCATGTCTACTTTACTGCAGATCATGTGAATAGCGTCACTGCTGTTCGCAGGAAGGGCAGCGAATGACAAGGTGTTGACAGCGTTGAGCGTCTTGACACAGATGATTTTTTCAAGTATATCTGTTATCAGTGTATTGTCAATCAATGGGCCATTTCTGTACATGGCAGTGACTGGCTGTTCATGTGCTCTGAGGTAAAGTAGACATGCTTTCTTGGTTCATATCAGACTCGCAATATTCATTACTTTACAGTATGTAACTTGCTGAAAGTATGAAGCCAAAGGGAAACTCCGATCAGAAGTTAAACGAAAACAAATGGCCGATATCACTTTAGTGGCACGAAATAAGACAGCAGCCTAAATTCAGTAAACTCACTTGAGCGAGCGTCAACTTAACAAATATTTCAGGATATTGAACCTTAAAAAAATCACCGGCGCTTCTCCTATGCATTCTATGCAAAAATGTTTCAGTTTAACGAAAAACACATTCTGAATAGCAAATATTTCAGTTCAACAAACTTGATCGATGGTCCCAGGATTATTTTTGCAATCAGTTCACTGAAGTTTTGTGCTCTGCAGTGCAGGCGTAGCCGATGCCCGCCTATTATCGCTGGCTTTCACAGTACTGCCGAAGCAAAGCGGCGGTGCGGTAGACGAAAATTAACCATGTGGTGCGTCTGTTTTTTCTTTTCGTCGGTTGCATTTGGCCATCTTTGCTGTGGGTAACAACAGTAGGACGGCAGTTTGTGCACCCACTTTCGTAACGAGCACGAGACGGAAGTGGTTGTCTTTATCACACAAGCTCAAAATTCCTCAGTGTCTGGACAATGAATAAAGGCAAGTGGACGTTGCGAAGGACTATGAGATTCCACCGTCAACGTTGTGAACGATAGTGAAGCAAAAGTCAAAGCTTGAAGGAGAAACTGCACCTCAATGGCAATAGCAAATGACTCTGCACGGGATATTTCCAGTCAGTGGATGATATTGTTGTGGTATGGCTTTGTCGCAGCAACAAGCTGTGCCAGAGAGAGAGAGAGAGAGAATAAACTTTATTTTTATTCTCGAGGAAGTGCAAAAAAACAGAGACTCTCTGGACAGCCTAGTTACTTCATGCGCATTAAGAGCGCCGGTGCAAATGAAAATTATATTTTTTTTTTAAATGAGAAAGGCAGCATCATAACTGTTATGCACTTTGTATATATCAATGTACATGACTTCATAAATTACATTTCACACTTTTGACTCAATATATGCTGTGCCCTATGCTGTTCTATGTTCTAGTGAAGATATTCAGTTAAGCACGACGTGCACAGGAAGCAGACGAACTTGCACGCCGTATAATCCTTCAAGTAGCCTCGATGCCAGCCGCCTTTAGTGAACTTTCAGATAAGTGAACTATTTCCTTGGGTCCCTTGAGTTCGCTCAAGTGAGAATTTACTGTATTGCATCAAGGTGACGCTGAATTCCCTACTAAAACCAATATTATGATGTGCCCAACGGGTGGCCACCGTCACTCTGGTGCAAACCCCTCTTCTTCCTGCCTTTTCACTGTTGTGTAAAGTGATAATTATAGCCGCTTTCCACCTTTCCTTGTTGTTTTGTTTCGTTTGTAGAGGATCCACACACCTGGATTATCCCTTTTTACTGTGTGTCGACCAGGTTGAGATACTTTGCATTGTACAATGAGCTATATCCATACTTTGTGTGCCACTTGCTATGCTACGTTTTGAATTGGTTGTCATGCTCAATTACAATAAATAAGTTTGTATTTTTTTGCAGAATATTTTTATGCCCCTTTTCAGGTATTCCCTTTGGGGTTTACACGCTTGATCGCTTTTTGATCAGTCAAATTTGACCTTGGAATTTTTGTTTTCAGGTGTGTCTACAATGCTGTACCGCACAACTGGGGCATCGGGCAGCACGCAAGAATTGACAGACTCCGAGGAGTGTTCCCATCTGCAACCTGCAGGGAACCTATCCCCGCTCCCTGTGGAGGCTACAGAGTCTGAGGAGGTTCCTCCCGCTGAACCACACAGTAAGTTTGCTGACAATGTAAATTAGCTGAACATGAAAAACTACAGTTCATTCATAAATAATGTGTGGGTCAACTTCGTATAAACACCAAAGAGGAATGTATTTCGTAGTACTAACATACATAGAGTGTAGCAACAACATCCATGTCACTATACAAGGCCAGTATGACCACTGCAATTGCACAATTATTATTTCTTTCTAATGGAGCTGAGGGATTCTCTGTCTCCAAGTTTTGTTTTGCTATTGGAAAGAGATGTAGGTCTGTTATGAGCCTATTAACAGGACTGAAGTATTTTAATGGCTCCCTTTTTTCTATCAAAAACAGTAACGAGACCTGATGAACCTAGGCATTGCCTAATTATCAGGGACAGACAGCTCGAGTATCTCTCGTTCGGTGCAGTTGTCGAGGTTTAGAAAAACAAAAAATAGTCAAACTTCCCTTGATCATTCGATAAACTCGGGAAGCATAGAATGTCTGGTGTGTGCGTTACGCCTGCATTATGTATGATTGGGTATGCTCAGTTACGAGGAGCTGTGAGATGTTTCAGATAGAAACTCGTGCAGGCATTCCATGCACAACACATTCATGTTCTCCTCATATTATCAGAATGATCAAGACAAGTTTAAATTCGTTCAGAAGTCTAGTGTATGAGCAGTTGTGGGATCATGTGCCGAGCTGCAATTAATCATTCTCAGGGCAACTGTGCGTGCTATCAGTCACCTGCTATGTGTATGCATCTGTTCCGGAGTACTGACATCAAAGCAGTTTCTTAAGGCTGGTTGACACACTTACGTTGAGTCTGATCGAGTGCGACTGCAACCGCTTGCGGCACTTAAGACAAGATGGCGGCGTCTGCGCAGTTCAGCCAATGGCAGTGTTACTATGGTGCCTGGAACGCGTTTTCGATTGGTGTGTTTACTGTCCTATATCCCCCCCCCCCCCCCATATTGCGTTCAAAATGGTCCGGAAGTGGCAATAAAATTTGCCACAAAAGCTAAAAGTGTCATGCTATCGGGTGTCGCAATCCTTGCGGTTGGTTGTCGACTCATTAGGGGCGCCGGCTAACAAGATGAGCGGACATAAATAGTTGCTGTTATCGGAATGTCCCGTCTCATGTTCACTTGTTTCCATCAACTGTTGAGCAGCAGAGTCAGACAAGGTAGAACAGTCGTCTGCCAACTGTACCTTTGCTGTTGGACCGCCGCCAAGATCACGACCAGCAACAGCATGACATTTTTGTGACATCACAAGGTGTAAATCGAGGGACCAAAATGAGGACGCCTTAACACACCTGTCGAAGACGCGTTCCAAGCACTGTAGTGTTACCAACACATTTACTGTTTAATGCAGTGAATGGCATCTGTGGTTATGTCTGAATGCATTTTGATACAGTAAGTGCGTTCCCAACACTGCCGTTGGTGCCATCTCACAGACGCCGCCATCTTGTTTTAAGCGTTGCAAGTGGTTGCAGTCGCACTCGGTTGGATGCAACACAAGTTTGTGAATTTGACTTTTTGCAATGCTTCTTTCTGTTTGCTCTGGAGCACGTGAGTGTCTCAGGTTTGAGCTCATATTTTGCCTGCACTACAGCAGCATTTGTGTTGTGCTATCCCTTTGTGTTCTCTCCAAGAGTATGTGCTGTTGATCAGGTACTACAAAGAATAATGCAAGGAGAACATAGAGGCGCCCTAGTCATCCTTAGCCCAGCTGGTTCCGCTCCCCCTCGGAGCCCTAAAGTAACGCATCGGCGTTTGGGTCACTAGGTCTGCTCTTCGATTCTCATCGCCACCCAGGGCCGGTTTGCTCATCTCGCAGCTGCTGCTCCAATTGCGGCCAACTTAGCCGCAGGTATTTTATTTCACGAGACCAGCTCCATGGAGGCATGGAAGTACCTAGCGTCCCTGCCTAATGGCACAGACGTTTGTGTCGCTTCAAGCACAAAAGTTAGATTTTGCTCCCAGAAACTGACTGCAGAGGCTTGCAATTCAAGTTAAATTAACTGCACTCTTACATTTTTGGAGTGGCAGGTAAAGTTACAGTCGGGGTAGACTGTCCTTCATTTCTGTATATAACTCCTTAATTTCATAAAGCCAGCTAGGTTTCTAAAGTTGCTGATGTTGAGAATTTTCAATTTGCACTTCTAGGTGATGCCGGGGCTGCTGGCTGTGGGGAGTCTGGGGATGTTCCTTATCCTCCGCTTCTTGCTGTCCTGGATGGTCAAGTATGCATGAGAGCCTACAAAAGATTTTGTTAAATGTTTTCATTGAAAGGACAGTTTTCGGAACAAAAGTGTTATTGATTATATTAACAAAGCTAATACCTAGGCAAGCTTTTTACGTATGCATCTTAGTATCCTAAGAGATGCCCCACCACCTAAAGGTAGTCCAATGGTCACCTCCGCAGAAACGGGGCAAGCCACAAGGGGAGGTGAGCAAGCCATGAGGCCTGGAAACGACAGTTATCCTTCATTCAGTTAACCCTTGCAGCCATAACAGGCTTGACGGCCCACTGCATCTAAAATAGCATAATGTAATTCACTAGTAGGTAGTTCATCTTGCCAACTCAACTGCAAATCTGCAGGCTTTAAAGTTTGTTAAAAGTGTATGTGTTCTTGGCTTTGTTGCAACAAGATTTTTATATTTTTTTCTCAAGCTCTAAAAGTTAGCTTTCCCATTATTTTCACTTAGTTTGCTCTTAAATTGAGGTGGCTATCTTTTAGTATAGTATGGTATGTCTACATTGTCTAATGAACCAATCAGAATGGGTATTTGCTGTAGATGTGGAAGTGCATTTATTATTTTTTCAGGTGGCAAACAGTTCAATATGTGGTGTGGAAAAGCTTAATTAAATAAGTTTGCATTTTTTAGTGCCGGCACTAGGTAAGTTGGATCGAGGGCTTTTGAGAGCACGGTGCACCACTTATATAGGCATAACGGAGGGTGCTTGCAGCCAGCTCCATGTAACAAAATATTGTGTCTTCTACTCGGTCACACCACAGACAAATGCCAAAAGCTCTACTACCTGAAAATCTGTACTGTTAGGGTTGAGAACTCGTGACTAACCAGTCCACAAAATTAATAACCATGCGTCCTGCTAAATCTGGTACTTTGGGGCTAATCAAATTCATTACCAGTGCTAACATTACTGGTGATACAGTGGCAAACTGTTGCCTGGTTAAAAGAATAAAGCCAAAAGAATAGAGGATAAATCTTATAAAAAATGCAAGTAGTAAGAGGGATGCTGTACCCCCCCGGATAGAAAAGTTGTGTCAGAAATCTATTTTGCATGGAGAAAAATGAAAACAATATTCAGGGTGTGAGTAATTTTGCAGTAATCTGTGTTTTCCTTCATGTATCCTCTTTCATTTTACTGTAACCATACCAACATGGCGCAAACAAGTGCGACAGAGAGGAGTGGAGAGGTAGACTGCTAATGTAAATTCCATTGTGCAGCATAAATAGTGAGCTAAATCGTTTCTTCAAGGAAAATGCATGTTTGCAACATGCATGTGGTATACGCACTGTTACAAAAGTTCTTTTTTTTTTGGTTGCAGTTGTTTTTTGACATACGATGCATTTACAAGTTTTGCATAGCTGATGGTATCTGGACATACAGTAGTATCTCGTTAATTCGAAGTCTGTTGGACTGAGAAAGATATTCCAATTAAGCGGGATTTAAAATTATACGAAAAAATAAAAAAAAAAATAAAAGAACCAAAATCATGTGCGGGTAAACCTTAAAAAACTTTTTATTGCAAAACATGATGCAGTTACATGAAGTAATCGTCAATCTGCTTAACGCTTCCTGTGGTTGGTGATACTTATCGTGTTCTCAAAAATGACGATTGGGCAAATGTTTCCGTACAGCCACCGTATATACATACTCTAAAAAACTGCAGACAACCCCTAGCAATTGCACGACTTCTCCGAGAGCAAAGGCACGGGTAACTCGTAGTCGCTGCCATTTTGGGTTTCAACAGCCACACTCCCAGCAATATCACTTTCAGTGTTTGCATAGCATGTCTGCCAGGTGATCAAGGCGCCTTCCACCTCGGCATAGGTAGGAAGACAAATTAGTGAACGCTTTGGTGAGTGTCTTGTTGCAGGCCTAGAGAATTGTCGTCCTTGTCGAGAGGCAGCTTATGTTTCTCGGCAAGCTTCGTTCTCGAAAATGCAAACTTGTCTGCTTTCTCGATGAGGCCCACTTTCTGGCGCGGCGTTAGGGTTTTGTGCTTCAGCAGGTTCCCTCCGCACTACAATCGCACATGAGATTGACATCACTGACTCCCAGATCACAATGGAAAAAGCAGAAAAGCACACAAATAACTTTTATGCATGGATTCGCATGCAAGCAGGCAACGGAATGACGAAAACTCGCCATGTTATTGCATTTGGGTGCTGATTTGTGCCACTTAGCATGTAAAAAATGAGCCGGGCCGACGAAAGTCCAGAAACTAACTGGGTAGGTGCGCTCTGGTCATACATATTATTTGGTCATATTTACACTTGATACTATATGGGACCATAGAAATTCTACTAGTTATCCTGGATTTTCAATAAACTGAGGTTCTACTGTATTACTATAGTAATATACTTGTGTGTGGCATACGTGGTCTTTCTTTTCCACTTTAAAATAATTAGTTTTAACAAACGGTGATTACAGAAGGTTTTGTCATCTGATGAATAGCATTATGCTACGAGTACTGTAGAGCAATAAAAACCCATCTTTTGTTTGCATATTCCCTTTTTTACTGCTTATTTTGATATCAGCAATGGGGTACCGATTTTTTTAAACTTAAGTCATACAGGTCAAAATTACAGCAGCTCTACAGGGGAATAGAGAGAGCCCTCTTCTTGTATATTGAAACTGCCTGTCATGCTGCAGGTTCATCTCGGCCACGGCATAACCCTGGCGGAGGACACGATGACCCACGCTCTCACCCATGCGTCCACTCCTGGACGGTTCGTGAGAATGGTCAGTCGAGGCCTCTGGGAGCCTGCAGCGCTGTTTGACCGGAGCGTCACCGGACAAGCCTGCAGGCGCCTTCTCAAAAATGGGGCAGTGGGGAAGACACCCCTCACCCCAGAAAAGATTGATGCCGTCATTGGTGAGTGGATTATTCATTTAAGGGACCCTGCCACGGGTTTCCAACTAGGTTTGTATGTGCATAACCTACGCCCAAGCTAGTACTCGCGACTCCAGCGACCTATAGGGGGCGCCACCACCAAACAAACATGGTGGCTGAGTCCAGGTCGTGTCGGCTCGGCCGGGCCGCCTGAACAGGTGGCGCGTTCAATTTAACAGATTTTGTTTTGTTTAATGCCCAATTTTATAGGTATTTGAACTGAGACGGTTAAGTGTAGCCGGTGCACATAAACTTGCAAAGCATAGTGTTGTTTTCCCGTTTTTTTTTTTTTTTTTTTCTTCTTTCCTTGTTAAACTTTTGTTTCAGAGATTTCGTTCAAAACCGAAACTATGGGCTCCGGAGAGACGGTATTATACTAATCAGTTTTGGTCGTCTAAGGAAAGCGGCGATTACTACAGTATTGTTCCACCAAGAGCAATTTTCAGCTAACTCGCATGCCTCGACCATGCGACTTATCTGTCGGCGAAATCAAGCTTTTGTGCGTATCCACATTTAGGAAACAGCTCCAGTCGTCTGCCCGGTCAACAACACAGGCTGCAGGAAAGTTACGAAAATTAAGCAAGCGCTTCTCGAGCCAAGGAGCATGTTAACCCGCCGGCACCCCACTAAGCAGCTGATACTCGTATTTCATATTCAGGTTTTAGTAGCAATCGAGAAGTCATTTTGTTGAGCGGGTTATGTATTATATTACGTATTATGTCCCACTAAAGCGATCTTAGTATATTCTTCGGGTTGAAATATGGGCTTAGTTGACTAGCTATTAGGTGAACTGCTGAATAAAAGTATATTTGACAGACAGAGAGATACTACTTAAACTTAGCCAAATGGTTCTAGCCGGCAGCACGGAGACAAACTGAAGAGAGTCTTCATTGGAGATTCACGCAGAACCTCTCTGCATTGAACTTTGCTTCGAATCCTGAACTATGAAAATGAGCATTTCTTGTCGCCGGTCAACCTGATCAACGTAGACGTATATTGCTGCTGGCTTTGATGGGGGTATAATTTCAATATTGGAGGCGTGATAGATCAAAATGCCGTGACAGCTTCTAACGTTGCGAGACGCGTCCCCCACCTTTTGAAAACAGATAATTTCCCTCATTCATCATTTGCAGCGAGCAGGTTTTCCTGAATCAAGTGCGAAAGTCAGCCCAACTCCTTCAGAGTGGTACAGAGGCTTTTTTGGCGAAAAGCAGCCAAGATGAATAGCCAACACACCGACCGGCGTGGGTGGCTCAAACTTGAAGCTAATCGAACACAACCAAACTCCAGAAAAGCAGCTATCGAACCTTCCCATTCACTTGACTGCCACATTGGTGTTCCCTCCAGTGAAATGCCTCGTCTGTCGTCCTCAGTTCACTGTTCTACATCCTTATAAAGAAACCACATCAGTTACCAAGTAGTCGTCACTTTGAATGTGATTAGAGACAGACAAGAAATCAAAACGTTTTTTCCGTGATTCCTCCCCAACCAAGAAATCGAAAGCACACGACCGTGTGTTGTGGAGTAAACGGACTTTCAACCACGTGATGGAAGGAAACAATCTACTGAGGCTTCACCACACTAATGAACACTCAGGCAAACTCAAGAAATTTTCGGACCTTCGTCAAATTACATCGTTCGCCACAGTGCCGACAACACGCGTCTGAGAAAGCCACCAGAGACGCGGAGGGGCACGGAGCGACCTGGTCCGGCTGGTCCCCGGTTTTCCTGCTTGGTGGCGTCCATTTTGCTGGAGTCGCGAATATGAGACTTCAGTAACACAGTAAAATATATTTTTTAACCAATTTGTGTTACTCAGAATATAATATGTGAAATGAACTCATGATTGCAGCTACCTTTTCTCTTTGGTGATGGCACAGTTGTTGATGGTGCAGCCAGAACCAGCAGCGTTCGTAATTGTTGGAACATCTCTTTATGAAGATGTGAATGGCATGTGGATTAGCGGATGCTTCAGGTGAAGGTGGGACCAAAAACTACTTGGCAAAAGGCATGCACATTAATGTCACGTGCACTTTTCCAGCCAGTCTGGTTGCCTGTGCCGTTGACAGGATGTCACCAAGCTTACGCTTTTGCCACCGATTGGCGCTCCATTTAAAACACACTTTAATTTTCTTATTGTCTGAACTCCAGACAATAAAAACTAAACACGCTGCAATTCTCTGGTTTTGCAGCTGCGTTTGGCTGCTATGCAGAAAAGCAGGCCAAAATCAAGAAAGACAAGGAGGACGGCAAGAAAGACAAGGAGGACGGCAAGAAAGACAAGGAGGACGGCAGCAACAAGCCAGGTCCCAAGAAAGGCAAAGAGCCGTCCGTCAGGGACGTGGTGAAAAAGCTCTTAGGTGACTATTTGGTCGATAAGAACAGGGAAGAGGAGAGGGCGAAGAAGAACACAAAGAACGACCACGAATCTCCGTTAGCAGTTCCCCCACCCTAAATGCCAGTCGCTTCCGCTTTTCGTCCTTTTTTTTTTTTTTTTTGCTGCAATATTTTTTTTTTTAATTTTTATTGTGTTTTGGCATTATACTTATAAGAACCTTGTGCAATATGTATTTTTATTTACAAAGCTATATTTTTTTTATGATTTATTAATTATTTTTTAGTCTTGAATGTGTTAATGGTACTGACGGGATAAGTTGTTTCGTTTGTTTTAAATCGAAAACATGCTTTTACGACAAAAACTTGGGCAGCTTCGCAATGCCTCCGCCAGGTGCCGTCAGCCGTGGTGCTGTATTTTGGCTTTTTATCAAAGCTAGACACTGATCTCTGGGGCTAAATATATTTAAAAAAATAGTTTATCATGTTTTTACTGCAATCGCAATAAAAATCTCGGCTTAGTTTTGCGTAAAAACCTCAGTATTTCGTACGGTCATGTGTCCAGTGGTCAAACAACATGGCGGCAGCCAAGAGGGGGTCAGTTTTGCTTGGTGAACGGAATACCACTTTATCGCTTTAAACCCCTCTGTATACCTAGTTGGCTCTCTTGTATATATTTGTGGTTTTGCCTTATTTTCTTGATTTTTTTTGTAGAGGATTTTGTGTGTGCGTGGTGCGCAGGTCCTTTTGAAAACTAGCACCTCCTCGGCAAATACGCCTTTTCCTAGGTATTGTGCAAAAAAGAATTTTCGCAGTGCATTTTAAAAAGATGATATATTACAAATTTACTAGATGAGTATTTCAATGTATATTTACAGGTCCTTAGAAGTTCTTAAAAACCCTTGAATTTTTTTCTTTAAAGCCTGTACGAACCCTGGTGTGAAATGTTTGAGTTTTGAGCCTTAAACATATTTTTTTTAAATGTTTTACGAAATTTTAAATGTATCATTCCTCAGATTTTATGCGATTGTGTGTTTTCAGACTATATAAATGAATCTTCTCGTTTTTTTCACAATTCCCTGTGTGGTGTCGTACCTCATTATTTGCAGTGATATTGATGACTAACCAACACTGACTATGTTCTGTTTTACCTCTGATGTAGTGCAGCAGATGCTATAGCCATTCCTACCAACCAAGCGCAGTGAATATATGTTGCATGGCTCAACGCATTCCGTGCCGCTGGGTGTTGCCAGAGAGTCGGATGACATGCTCTCAAGCACTGGACTGACTCAAAAGGCTCTTAGCATCAGCCTCAGTACACCAGAAGGTGAAACTGAGCATTAGCTCTTTATTAATCTAATTCCTTTTTTGTCCGGAGTGGCCCGGTACGGCCTAATCTCCGGTGTGATTCATTCCGGTTAAATTCTCCGTATTGGCCACATCCGATTTGACCAAGTACGGTTAGGCCTCCGGATTGGTTGTCTCCGGTTAAGTTTCCGAATTGGTCGTCTCCGATTTAGTTCCCGGTTCCATATGACGGTCTGAAACTCCGGATTCATTCCGATTTAATTTCAAACCGTTATTTTTGGTAGGGTGCCACCACACCTGCCAAAACGCTGTCTGCCATGGATGGACGACAGTGGCTGCAGGAGCTGTACCTTGGCTAGAGGTAATATAACTCTACCTAAAGATGGCCGCCACTGACCGCATTCGCAGAGCGGGCAAACGCGATCCAGCAATTGTCATTGAAATCAGTGGTCAAGAGTGTCCTGCGTAAATCGGCTATGCCGGCGAGGTATTTCTATTTCTTGACTGCCTAAAATCGGACGTTAAAAACAAACAAAACAAAAAAAAACAATACAAAGCAAGATTAACCGGAATAGAAGCGGCTTACTTTTAGCCTGAAAAAGACCTTTTAAGCTGAAGACTTGAACAAACTGTGGCGCCCTCATTTCCGATAGTACAATCTCACCTGACTGGGATTCGCACTACTTATAGCACCTTCACTGATACTTTATTTTGGAGTGTAGCTCTGAAGAAACAATGTCGTAAGACAACCGAAAATGCCGGATTAATGACACCCCCAGGGACGCGACTCTTATCTCTACGTAATGACACCAAAATATCTGGCTTTCCGACGCTTTTTTTCCGGTTTTTCTTTGGTACACATGAAACCGCGTCTTCGGCGGCGTTAAAAATGGTTTTTAGAATTTATCTTGTGATCTCGCGGTCCGCACCAGATCACGCGCCTACAAGAGTGGCAGTTTGAGACGCTCAAGGTTGTACTATACGCAAAGCAAGCCCTGGTGAGTCCGATTTCGCGACCTTTCCTGGGCAGGGCAGGTGGCAATACAAAGCAGCGGAGGGAGATTAGCGGCTTTGTCCAATCCCCTTTCACCTCGTCTTCTGATAAGCCTCGAAACCTTCTTTTGCGTCTTCGTGTTGCTGTGAGCGAGTGCGAAGGCCACTTCTAGCAAATCAGAGGTGTGGCACAAAACACGTGACCGCTCTCCGTAGGACAAGGACGCTTGGAGGAAAATTTGTCACGTGATTCGCTCTGACGCGCTGATGGGCTACTGGGGCCGTAGTCTTTGCAGTATGCCAAGTTACGGCGAGTTGTAGGGGCCAGGTAGTCCCGGTTTACAAGAAGGGGGGCGCCCGTCACTGTATTCCTGTTTTTCGTGCGTTTGAGTCGCGGCTGTGATTTTTCGTCGTGAACGGCCGGAATACATCCATGCCAACTTTTCGAAAATGGTCGTTTATTTCGTCGGAGTCCATGTAATTATTGTGCTGTATTTGTTGGACGCGTTTCGACAAAGAGCTGCTCATCGGCGGCCGCGAGACTTCCGTTGAATGTGATCGACCGCCTTCAACCTCGGCATTGTGTTTGCGTTGTTTTGTGCTGCCCGAATCGGATTACGCATCTATCACGACAGAGAGGTGCTCATCGGTGACCGCAAAACTTCCGCTGAATGTGAGCGACCGCCTTCGTCCTCGACATTGTGTTTGTGGATAGTTCTGTGCTGCCCGAATCGGATTATGCATCTATCACGGATTACATGAGATCGCTGTTTTATTTGTAAGTACTCTGCAAGCATGCTTCTGATAGTAGGCCAAGGGGGCTATGTTCGACAAATGTTTCATTTCTCCTAAAAAGAAACGGAAGTGACGGAAGCGACGATATCGCGTTTGATTGGTAGGAAGGTCAAATGGCGAAAATAGGTAACTTTCGTCATTTGAACCTCTAACCAATCAAACGCGATATAGTCACTTCCGCCACTTCAGTTTATTTTTAGGAGTAACGAAACAATTGTCGAACATAAGCTCCCTGCTTCCGTTTCAATAGACCATTTTACGGTTTACAAACATGAACTGCCGCTTACGTCTATAGCAACTCCCGGTCGTACCGTCTTCGCAAGCCTGCCAGTTTTGTCCACATCACCAGTGCAAGGAAGCATAAACGTCACAAGAAAAGTACGGTTAGAGATTCAACTAGGGCCTTCGGTTGTACAATTTGAAGGGGTTATGAAACAATATCCGGTTGAAATGTTTATGACCTTACACGCACGGACCGCCACTGGTTTAGAAGCGTCTCGGTCGTGGTGGAATTGCGAGGATAAAAGAGAACTATTTCTTTCAGTCTTGCCTTCGCCAAGTTTGATGACGTGCGCGTGAACGTAGCTTTGCCCTTTGGCACGCTTGTAATTGCACGCACTTGCCCTGCATAAGCAGAGACATGGCTGCGGCCAGATGACCTGCTTGCAATCGTCTATAGAGAATTTTGTAGATCCTGTTAGAACCTTGATTAAAAATAAAAAGTGAACCAGGCATTTGCAGTCATTTTCTCGTGCACTCTTTTGGGCTATTACGCCCTACTTTATGGGTGTTGGTAATCGCGCCATTTTTATTTCCCTTTCTGGCGGTGATACAAACAATTTAGAGGGCGTACTGCGCAGACATAACGCACTAAGAAAAAGGTATACAGTGGAATCACACCCCAATTGAAAGGTGTTCGGAATAACGCCGTCCTTTCAGGGTGTAAGGGAAAAACACCCTATTTTAGGGGCGTTAGGAATAACGCCCTTTCTTTAGGGCGTTTTGCTGCACCCAAATGGGTGTTACTTATAGGACAAGCCATTTACACCCACAAGGGTGTTACGATGTTTAGTGTGCAGAGCGACCGGAACGACCGCTCTGCGGCGCGCGTACACTCCTGCAACCACTGCCACAAGCGCAGCGGGTCGGCAGCACGGCGACCGCCTCTCCGCCGCCGTCAGCTGTTTCAGCGGTGCCTCTAAAAAGAAGGGGACGCTCTGCCACTCACTTGAGTAACAGAAAATAGACAGACCGTCTTCTATGACCTAATCTTTTTTTTCTTTCAGGATACGCCTGCAGGATAGCGCACTAAAAAAAGGAAACGATGCAGCGCGCCGTCTTGCACGATCACGACTTTAATACACGACTTTGCCAACAGTACAAATCTCGCCACACACCTTTTCTACGATAATAAAAGACGATGTAATTTTAGCAGCGATATAGCAATGCAGAAATATAATTTCGTGATCAGATAGACGTTGCGAGAGTTCAAGATTGTTTACACTAATAACCTTTCTCGGGTGATAAAACGCGTTAAAACTCGCATCCTTTATACGGTACGCACCAGTAGTACCTTGAACTTTGTGGGAGCCGAGGATGAAAGACGAGGCAGAGAGCACGTGACAGGCGGCCGGCAGAGAAGACACGAGCTGGCGCGAGACATTTGCGTGCTGAGCGAGGCTGGTAGCTGGACAAGGAACGTCGAAGCCAAGCTGCCTGGCCTAGGCCTGGCCTGGCCCATAATGAACCCCGGAGCGGTCCACCAGCGAGGTCTGGGGCAAGACCGGTGGGAACGGCGAGCCCGGGCCATATGACCTGGGTTATGACGATCCCGGGGTGGTTCCGCAGCGAGACTCGGGCATTGATAGCCCGGGACAGCCAGCCTACGCAGCGCTGGCGTGGGAAAGGCGATCCGCAGGCCTGTCACGTTGGATCATGTCTTCTCGTTGCAGTGTGTAACTCCCTGGGTGACGGGTGGAGCGCATACCGATCGGGCGGCGATTATTAGTATAGAGGGATCTCCTTGAAGAAACCCACATTAAAATGGCGCCCAACGTGGGGCCCGTTCGGTATGCCTCTGCTTCTAGTCGTCCCCAGGGAGTCCCATGGATTCGTTAAGCGGGTTGTTCACTAGAGCTAACGATGCCCGTTGAGACAAAGTATGTTGGAATTTTGGTGACTTGTCTCACAGCAGAGCTCAGCAGGTGTCTCCTCGAATCGAGTACTTAAAGGTCTCGAAGGACGAGGTTGTGGACGCGCTTTCTCGGGTACCCCAGAATAGTGGTTGGCTGAAGGTGACGCAACCGGGGGGAACACGAGGAGCGCGGTTAAGATGTAAGAAAGTCGTCTTCGGAGGCAGAGGAGAGGCATGGCAGGTTCGCTGGAAGGCAGGATAGTGACTGGCAGGAGGAAAAACAGCCAGGACTTATTGCATATTTAGGATTTAGGCTTGGAGTGATGCGGTGATCCAGTGAGCGCTTGTCAAGGCCCGGGGTGCCGATGGGTTTTTTTCAGTTGGTGTCGGAAAGATTGCGGGAATTGCAGTCGGCACCGGGAACACTGGCGGACGAGATTGTCAGCGGGTGTTGGATAAACTGGCGTAAATTGCAGTTGACACCGGGAACGCTGGCAGGCGAGTTAAGGAGCAGTATGATTTGTAACCGCTGGGCCAAGACGGCTAGTTACTTCGCGTCA